AGCAAATGGCTGCAATATAACAAAGAGTGAAAAATTTAAGGGGGTCTGAATACTTTCCGTACCCACTGTACATCCAAAATAATCCTTATTGAATCGAAAGCTTGTGAATGAGAATCGAATCGTGAAATTTGTCTCAAAACCCAGCCCTAGTGTACATTAATGGTGCAAAAAGCTGCAAAACAGAGCAATGTCTAACTCAAACAGATGGGAATAAGACTTTTATTTATTAAAACGTATTCCATTTTTAGGATTTTTCTTCTTATAGGATTTTTCTGACCGAATTCACATGAGAAAAACACGTCAGATTCCTCTCTGAAAGTATGCGAGCCGCAGGCATCGTTCTCCCGCAGACGACCGTCCGGTGATTCATGATCTCTTACGAAGCACTTCCCTCTCAGAGCCTGATGTCAACATGCTGTAGAAATATGGAACTGCTAATAACTGAAAGTCAGCGAGCTCATAAAAACAATCTTGTGATTCATTATGGGAACTTCCACTGCGGTGCGCGCGTTTACGGCCGCTTGTTACGTGACCTCGTTATCAAAACACAACTGCAGCACGACAAAGACACAATCGCAGGAGGCCTGAAGTCCAAAGGCCTTTCAGCGGATCAAACTCAAGACAGCGATCAGCATCACGTCACTCAGCGCAGATCTATCCGAGACGAACGCACAGATACACAAGCACAAATGAAGTGTCTAAATGTGCACGCCTTCGGTTAAGTAAATGTCAAAATCAGCCTCTTTTATGTCAAAGGAACAGTCTAACCTGTTCTGCATTCTCTGTCTGATGTCTAACAATATGACATCAGTTTCTGACACGCTAATGACTTTCCCCTGGTGCAAATTACAGTGACGGAGCTTCAGAGAGACACACAGCCCCAAAAACATGACGAGACAATCACACAGTGAAGCTCTTTTCACAGCACCGGCGGTGAGGGCAAGACCCAGAGATCCAGGAAAGTTTATCACGATGAAAACACGGAGCGTTACGTGCAGACGCAGAGGGAACGCGGCCCTTTCCGAGTGTGTTCTGGGTGAACTTTCTGCTGCTGAACACACCCAGGAGCTCTAACGTTACACACGCTCCCAGAGCTCACACGGCCGCCAACTCATTCTGAACATAACTCTTCTCAAAAGCAAAAGCGTGAATAGAAAAACCCCTCCAGAAAAGGGCAGAACCGCAGCTCTCCATTCAACACGGCGTCCTCGAGGGCCAATCAATTAGTCATGTGAGCTCGCTGCAAGCTGACGCTCCTCGCGCTTCGGGCCAAACCAAACTAAACTAGCGGGAGAAGCGCGGCCGCGGGCCGTTTACGAGGTCGGCCAAGTCTGTGGCAACAGAAACATCACAGATCCTATTGTGAAACACATGTAGAAGAAATGAACTCCAACCAAACAGTGAGTGAGAGCCAAGAGTTTCAAACTCCAGTTTATAACACCGCCAGCGAGCTGCCAAAGCCTTTCGGTCAGCTTACACAATAGCAGCGTAAAGGACGAGGAAGGGAAAGAATGCTCCCCGAACGCTTTCATGGGTCGCAGCAGCCCGGCCTCTTAACATAAACACAAAGACACACGCAGCATCTCTTCACTCACGTTCACTCGACTCCACAGCAAACGTGAAGCTTCGCTAAACCAGTTTATTTTACTGTAAGCTCATCTGGAAACGGGCCGTTAAACAGAGCGCTGGTTAAATTGTTACCAGGCAATAACCCACATTTGCACAGAGACACACAAAGCCAGCATTCATGCGCTCGCCACAAACCGACAGAGCACAAACACACGCTAACCTGCTTAGAAACTCACAACGTTCACAATTTATGTGTACAATGCTGCTTTTAAATGGTGAATTCACCCAAAAATGAGTGTGTGATGCTGGCGTTTCAAACACAAATGGAGAAGTTTAGCAGAAGGTTCACGACGCTCTTTCCGTGGAATGGACGTGAATGCTCTAAAAATGATTTTTTTAGAAAGCACCATAAAGTATCAAAACATTAGTCCATATGACACATGATAACCTGCGCCGTTTGAAGGCTGAAACATGAGAGATGCCATGAAGGGGATGATTTGTAGTAAGCAACATAACTACATTTCAGTCGGTTTCTCAGGAAAAGCATCGTGTGAATTCAGAAGACTTGGAATATGGATCATTGTTTTGGGGGTCAGAGCGTCTGTCTTCACCTATTTTCAATGCATGACAAACGGGCGAACAAACCATTTAAAACGGAAACCTTATTTCAGTTTTACTTGAGCTTTAACACGATCATCAGTACGGACTGTGCTCGTCACAGATTTCTTGGCCAATCTCCGGTGATTCATGATCTTTAATAAACAGCTAGTAGACACGTACACTCTTTAATCGACAGGAACAGATACTGATATATGGATGCACAGTGGGTCTTATAACTCTAAAAACCCATTCCTCTGGAGCTGCAGTGTGATAAATGAATTCTGACTCCTTGGCTTTTATGATAATGAAGGATGTCCAGTCCTGATCACAGCTTTATGCACAGAATACTCAGAAGCTGGTGTCTAAATAGTCTTCCTTATTGATAGATCCTCTCTAACGGCCCGCAGAAAGACCTGAACAGAACTAAACACACACACATGTTGAAGAAAAGGGGGAATGCTGCTCATTATGCAGGTGGCACTGTTGTCTGCAGGGTCTAGGGCTGATGATGGAGCCGGCTGAGTTGAGTTTTTGGAAAGGTCCACACGCTTTAAGGGTATTCTGTAGACTCTGGTGTTTCTGGGTTTGGGTTTGCTGTGGAAAAACCCATCCCTGAAGGACCGGGAACTGATCTGAGCTGCTGAGATCTGACTCCATCTACAGGAACATCTGGAAACTGCTGCAGCTGAAGATCAGAGCCAACTGCAGAAGAGAGACTAATGCAGCATGACAGACACGTGTGTAAATGTGAAGTGAACTCAAGCATTGTGTGTCTGCTGTCACACCGTCAGAGCGGGGCTAGTTGTCACGAGCGTCTCTAGATTTTCTCAAGCAGTGGTTTTGTATGTGGGTTTCAAACACCTCAAACTGGTCCTAAAGGCAATTGAACATGATCACATGTGAGGAGATAAAAAGAACAGACCAGGCATCATAATGTTGATTTATCTGACAGAAACACACAGGTCAACAGTACCGCTATATTGTCAAAATGAAATGTTTTCGAGTGGAAATACAGTACAATGTATTACAGTACAGGTTTAGACATCACCGAATAAATACACATTGTGCATAAGAAGTGCCCTGAAGACTCTTACAGTCCAACATCTAATCCTGAACTGAGGACCGACTCAAACCAGTTCCCAATCGCACTGCAGTCCCTGAATCTAAAGCGGAGTCGTCCTCATGCGTTTATATGTATATCACAGTCTCTGTCAGTGATGTCAGCTCGGTGTGCTCTGCTTGTTTTCGCGCTCCGTCTCGTGACGCTCTGCGTTCTCCATGTAGGCCTGCACGGATCTCCAGAGCGCACGGATGTTCCCCTCGCCGAAGCCTGTGGCGCCTCTGCGCTCGATCAGCTCCAGGAAGAAGGTGTCCTCTCCGAAGATGGGCTTGGTGAACACCTGGAGCAGATACCTGTGAGAGCAGGAGAGACAGTGTGTGTGTCAGGCTCAATGCAGAAAACCATTTTCTAATCCTGTTCCTTCCTCCGCTGCCTCCAGTGAAAAAGTGCATCTGCTGTTGTCTCTCATATGTGTTTAGAGCTGTTTAAACGCTGCTTGATCTGTGCAGATTTCTCTCCTGATTCACACCAGAACACTGACTCACTGGAGGAAGCTCTATGGTATTTTAGTTAAAAAGGTCTTAATGCTGGATTAGTTTCAGCTTTTGTCTTCTCCAGATGTTAACTGATGGACTGGAGTGCTGTGGATTATTGTGATGTTTTTATCAGCTGTTTGGACTCTCATTCTGACGGCACCCATTCACTGCAGAGCATCCATTGCTGAGACACTGATGCAGTGCTACATTTCTCCAAACCTGATGAAGAAACACACTCATCCTGATCTCGGATGATCTGAGTGAAGATATTTTCAGCACATGTTCACTTCTGGCTGAACTACTCCTATTGCAGAACATGTGTCCCTGCAGCACAAAAGCAGTGTTGAGTCGCTGGGGGATATTTGTAGCAATAGCCAACAATACATTGTATGGGTCACAATTATACATTTCTCTTTTATGCCAAAAATCATTAGGATATTAAGTAAAGATCATGTTCCATGAAGATATTTTGTAAATGTCCTACCGTAAATATATCAAAACTTAATGTTTGATTAGTAATATGCATTGCTAAGAACTTCATTTGAACAACTTTAAAGATGATTTTCTCAATATTTAGATTTTTTTGCACCCTCAGATTCCAGATTTTCAAATATTGTCCGATCCTAACAAACCATACATCAATGGAAAGATTATTTATTCAGCTTCAGATGATGCATGCATCTCAATTTCGAAAAATTGACCCTTATGACTGGTTTTGTGCTCCAGGGTCACATGTTATAAAGCATGTCTAGTTATGGCTTTAGTGTCTCGGGGAGAGTGCTGTTGTTGAATGTCTAGCGGGTTTTGATGGAAACAAAAACTATTGTGCATTATATACAGGTACCTTTGTATTTGCTGCATATGAATACACAATAATAACATCTATATTATTGAACACAAAAATGTCCTGCAAAATCTACTCCGGAGATAAGTTGATCAGTGACAGTGAGTGTGGTACCGCTGGCTGTCTGTGTCCGTGTGGAGGTCAGTGTCCAGCAGAATCCCGTACCGACTCAGAGCGTGAGGGTCGTGACCCGCCGCCACGATCTCGTCCTGCTTTCCCACCTGTGAGCAGAGTACGAACCACAGGACAACACGACTGAGTGCACACACACACACACACCTGACATACCTAACCTGCTCGCCTGAAGCCACGAGAACAGCATTCATGAAGCACACTGACCTCAGTGTAGTACGCAGGCGGAGGAGAGAAGAACTGCACTCCAGACAGACTCAGAGTCCGAGCCGTTCTCACGATGTCCTCGGTGTAGAGCCCAATGTGCTGGATTCCTGCGCCTCTGTGCTGGTCCAGAAACGTGTCCACCTGGTTCCTGCCTGAGATTACACCTCTGTTAGAAACAGACAGCTGTGCTTCTGGATGCTGCTTCACACAACATCACTCGAGCTACACCAGCAGAGCTGACCAAATAACACAAAACATGCATGTACACAATAAGTGCATTGAATTAAATGATTCACTTAAATGTTACCCTGCTGTGGAAGAGACTCTGCGATCACAAACTTGCAGTCCGGCTCTTGTTCATCTTTGAACGGCAGTGTGATTCCCGACTCGCTGCATTTCCAGTATTCCATAGCGGTCAGTCGCAGGCCGATCCCGTTGTGGTTTAGCACGTATCCCTCATCCACATCCTCATTCCTGCACAGAACGGGTCATGGGTAACAATCCTGACAATATTTCGGTAGTCTGAGAAATTCATCAGCATGAGTGATTTTACTGCGTTAATGCATTTGGCAGATGTTTTTATCCAAAGCAACTTGCATTGCATTCAAGCTACACACACTGGAGCAGTTCACGAACACTACCTGCCAAAATCTAGAATAATTAAGATTTTTTAATGCGCACACTTATTTAGGCTGCACTGAAAACAGTCGTCGTGCTGCTTCATATTTTTGTGGAAACTGATACATTTTATTTTTCTGGATTATTTGATGAATCGGTGTTCAAAAGAACAGCATTTATTTGAGATAGAAATCTTCTGAAACATTGCAAATGTCACTTTTGATCAATTAAACGCGTCCTTGATGAATAAAAGTAAAACAAACTGATTGACCCCAAACTTGTGAATAGTAGTGAATCACGGTTTCCACAGAAATATTGTGCAGCACGACTGTGTTCAACATTGATAATAATCAGAAATGTTTCTCGAGCAGCAGATCAGCATATTATACTGATTTCTGAAGATCATGTGACACTGAAGACTGGAGGAATGATGCTGAAAATACAGCTGCGCATCACAGAAATACATTACAGTTTAACAGAGACTCACAGAGAAAACAGCTGCTTTACATTCTAATAGTATTTCACTATTTTACTGTATTTTTGATCAAATAAATGCAGCCTCGGTGAGCAGATGAGACTTATTTCAGTGTGTTTCCTTCTTGGGAATCGAACCCATGACCTTGGCGCAAGTTTAAACCAAACTCAACTGTTTGAACCATTTACATTCATGCATCTGTCAGACACGATCAATGCACTCATCGGCTCAGTTCACGCATTCCCCGGGAATCGAACCCATGACCTTGGCGTTCAGCTGCAGGAACGCCGGTCGTTAGGGTCATCTGCAGATACGGGTCAGAGATGAGGACACTGAAACCTGTCAATGAAGAACCTCCGGAAGCCGAAGCAGTCGCGGTACCAGCGGGCGATGAGCGCGGTGCTGCTGCGGGGACAGGCGTAGGTGATGTGGTCGAAGTGCGTGATGGGACACTGCGAGCGGCCCGCGGTCTCGGAGTCCGTCCGGACCTGATGGAAGCCCGGCAGGAAGGGCCCCTGGTACCGGGAGCGGTCTATGAGCGTGTGGCACACGTTACCCACCGGCGAGCGGATGATGGAGAAGGTGACCCGGCCGCTGTCATCGGAGACCTCGGCTGGCGGCTGCAGAAACTCACACAGACCCCGCTCCCGCAGCGCAGCGGACGCCCTCTGCACGTCCTCCACCTCGAAACACACGTTACTCACGGTGTCCACCGGATAGTGCGCGTGGGCTGCGTACAGACAGCTCAACCCCTGAGGTTCCTTCAGCCTCCGCGGCGCCTCGCTCGGCCTCTCATTGACCAGGAACACGGCCGAGCCTCTGCGGAGCGCGAGCTGCTTCGCTCGGTCTGTCAGTCGCGCCGCGAACACGTTAAACTGGAACCGGGACACCAGCTCGTGAGCAGCTTTATCCACGTTTGAGACGTGGAGCGAAATGTGGTGCAGCCGGCTCAAGTAGGCCGCCATGTTGGGGTGACGTCACGGAGAGGGGCGTGTCACGTGGTCGCGATTGCTGTTTATGTATTAATTTGACCGATCGTTATATACACAAACGCAGATATTTCCTTACACAAATTTGCGAGTGGAATTTGTGGTCAAAAATTAGTTTTAAAAATGTATTTGAATTATATAATTAGGTATTTCTTGTCTTCTGAGATTGTGTGTATTTTTTTTTTATCTTAAAATTATTTATTGTCATGATTACATGTATTTTACTTCAGTCAGTTTTAAAATAGTTTTCACATGATTTTTAAAACATGCGATGATGAACGTCTCGTTCTCGGGTTGGTGTTCACGTGGTGTGGAGCCGTCCAATCAGCGGCGGGGCGTCTGATCACGTGCACGTGACGCTGCGCGAGAAGCTGGTCGTTTTTATTTTGTCAGCGCCGCCATTAAATCCGCATCCACATCAACATTCAGAGATTAGAAACAGCGTTCATCGACATAAAAACGCCGTTCAACGACTGATATAAAGCCCGGAGATTAAACGACACCATGGAGGTCGAATAACAACGATAAAGACAGACTGAGGAGATTTAAGTCTCTTTCACGAGGAGCTGCGCGCGGAGCTGTGAGTATTTACATGCTTCAGCAGTAATCT